CCGCTTCTAGCCCAGATCCCTGGTAAAATACTTTCTCTACAGGCTGACCCAAAATAGGGCATTTATTCTCTTTGCCGAGAAGACAGCAGGAAAGTCGGTATCGGATCGAAAAATTATCTAAAATTGTTCTTGCTCATTATCGGTCCTCTTCTGGTACGTCACACTAGATTAATTATTAGTGAAGACAATCAGATATCTAAAGAAATGCGATAGAACAAAATCTGTAAAACATTTTTTTCAAGTTTTAAAGCGTAAACTAACAAATGAATAGAGTTAAGTCCAATAAAATCTAGCAAATAACATTTATATTTTATCAACTGCAGTCCAAAAAAAAAATCATTTTATTTTAACTTTTTTTTGTTATTTTACGTGAAGAATTCAATTCTTTTTTCACTTAAACTCGTTTGTAGTAAACCTGACGTCCATTCTGTATAGTTGCTAGTAGATCATTTTTACCGTTGCAAAAAATGTACTATTATATTTAAAAAAAAATTTTCGCTACTTTCTAGATTAAATCGTAGTTATAAAATAAATACAATCTAAAAATTTCTATTTAACAGACGCTATAATATGCAAATTATAAGTTTTAAGTCCCACAGAATTATGCAAATTTAATTTATATTTGGACAACTGCAGTCAAGGAAAATGACAAAAAATCATCATATTACGAAATTTTTTGTTTACTTTACGTTTAGAATTTAATTCTTTTTCGACGAAACATGATTGTAGTAAACCTAACATCCATTCTGTTTAGTTTCTAATAGCACATTTTTACCGTCGCTAAAAATTTTTTAATATATTTAGGAGAACTTTTCGCTGCTCTCTAAATAATTTATTAGTAAAAACTATAAGATATCTATAGAAATGCTATAGAACAAAAGCGATAAAACATTATATTTCAAGCTTTAAAGCGTATTCTAACACATGAAAAGTGTTAGTTCGAATAATATCTAGCAAATAGAATTTATACTTTAACTTCTGCAATCCAAAAAAAGAGAATAAATTATTTTATTACTACTTCTTTTGGTTACTTTACGTGTAAAATTTTATTAAATTTTGCAGAAATTCGATTGTAGTCAACAAAACATCTATTCTATCTATTTTCTAGTAGTTTATTTTTACTGTTGCTAAAAATGTATTATTATATTTAAAAAGAAATTTCGGCAACTTCCTGGATTAAATCGTAGTTATAAGTAAATACAATATAAAAAATTGCTATTTAACAGACGCTATGAAACGTTATCTTTCAAACTTTAAAGCGTATACTTACAAATAATAAGTTTTAAGTCCCACAGAATTATGCAAGTTTAATTTATATTTGGACAACTGCAGTCAAGAAAAATGAAAAAAAACCATCTTATTACGAAATTTTTTGTTTAATTTACGTTTAGATTTTAATTCTTTTTAGTCAAAGTCGATTGTAGTCAACCTGACATCAATTCTGTAATGTTTCTTATAGCGCATTGTACCTTCGCTAAAAACTTTTTAATATTTTTAAGAAAAGTTTTCGCTACTTTTTAGATTAATTATAAATAGAAACTATCAAATATCTAAAGAAATGCTGTAGAACAGAAGCTATAAAAAATTTTCTTTCAAGTTTTAAAGCGTATACTGACAAATAAAAGTGTTTAGTCCCATAAAATCTAGCAAATAACATTTATATTTTAACAACTGCAACCAAAAGAGAAGAAAAAATCATTCAATTACAAAATTTGTTGGCTACATTACGTGAAGAATTCAATTTTTATTCGTCTAACCCCTATTGTAGTAAACCTGACGTCCCTTCTGTTTTGTTTCTAGTAGCACATTTTTACCGTTGCTGAATATGTATTATTATATTAAAAAAGAAATTTCCGCTACTTTCTATATTTAATCGTAGTTATAAAATAAATACAATCTAAAAAAGTGCTATATAACAGACGCAATGGAACGTTTTCTTTCAAGCTTTAAAGCGTATACTTACAAATAATAAATGTTAAGTCCCAAAGAATTATGCTAATTTAATTTATAATTGGACAACTGCAGTCGAGAAAAAGGAATAAAATTATCTTATTACGAAATTTTTTGGTTACTTCACGTTTAGAATTTAATTCTTTTTCGTCGAAACTCGATTGTAGTCAACCTAAAATCCATTCTGTAATGGTTCTAATATCACATTGTACTTTCGCTAAAAACTTTTAAATATATTTGAGAAAAGTTATCGCTGCTTTATAGATAAATTATTAGTGAAAACTATCAGATATCTAAATATATGCTATAGAACAAAAGCTATAAAACATTTTCCTTCAAGTTTTAAAGCGGATACTAACACGTTAAAAGTTTTAGTTTTAATAATATCTAGCAAATAATATTTATATTTTAACCACTGCAGTCCAAATAAAGAGAAAAAATCATGTTAATACAACTTTTTTTGGGTAATTTACGTGTAAATTTCCATTAAATCCTAAAGAAATTCAATTGTAGTTAACAAAACACCTATTCTGTCTAGTTTCTAGTAGTTCATTTTTACAGTAGCTAAAAATGTATTACTATATTTAAAAAAAAAATTTCTGCTACTATCTGGATATAAATCGTAGTTATAAAATAAATACAATCTAAAAAAGTGCTATTTTACAAACGCAATGAAACGTTTTCTTTCTAGCTTTAAAGCGTATACTTACAAATATTAAGTGTTAAGTCCTAAAGAATTATGCTTATTTAATTTATATTTGGACAACTGCAGTCAAGAAAAAGGAAAAAAATCATCTTATTACGAAATTTTTTAATTACTTTACGATTAAAATTCAATTTTTTTTCGTCAAAACTCGATTGTAGTCAACCTGACATCCATTCTGTTATGTTTCTAATAGCACATTGTACCTTCGTTAAGATTTTGACAATATATCTAAGAAAAGTTTTTGCTGCTTTCTAGTTTAATTATTACTGAAAACTATTAGATATCTAAAGAAATGCTATAGAACAAAAGCTATAAAACATTTTCTTTCAAGTTTTAAAGCGTATATTAACAAATGAAAAGTGTTAGTTCGAATAATTTCTAGCAAATAAAATTTATATTTTAACCACTGCAGTCCCAAAAAAGAGAAAAAAATCATGTTAATACAACTTTTTTTGGCTACTTCACGTGTAAAATTTCATTAAATCTTGAAGAAATTCGAATGTAGTTAACAAAACATCTATTCTTTCTAGTTTCTAGTAGTTCATTTTTACAATTGCTAAAAATGTATTACTATATAAAAAAAAAAAATTTCTGCTACTATCTGGATTAAAACGTAGTTATAAAATAAATACAATCTAAAAAAGTGCTATTTAACAGACGCTATGAAACGTTTTCTTTCAAGCTTTAAAGCGCATACTTACAAATATTAGGTGTTAAGTCCCAAAGAATTATGCTAATTTGATTTATATTTGGACAACTGCAGTCAAGAAAAAGGAAAAAAATCACCTTATTACGAAATTTTTTGTTATGTGACGTCTAAGAAGAGGACCGCCAAGGAGCAAGAACAATTTTAGATAATTCTCTGATCCGGCACCGACCTTTATGCTGTCTTCTCGGCAGAGAGAATAAATGCCCTATTTTGGGTCAGCTTGTAGAGCCAGTACTTTACCCGGGATCTGGGCTAGAAGCGGAACTTAACCCTTTTTTAGAGTAAAAGATGACAACTTACCTTGATGTTAATTATTGCTCTATGATTTTACGGAATCCTCGGAGTGCGGCCCCCTGTGCTGATGTCCGGAGCTTATTAATTCCAATTGTGCTGGTGTTTAATTTTGAAGATAGGTACAGGGAATCAGGTGCAAAAGGAGCTTAGTTGTTGGTTCAAAATCATTCCAAAAATTGTAGGTAAAATAACAGTATATTCTTAAGTAAACTGTAAAAACACACAACACAATGCTATGCACAGTATAACTCACAATACGAACATAGACAATCGCAAATGTAGAACATTTATAAATGTAAAGATTAAGAAACAATTATCAAAAAACTCGTTTACAAGCGTAGCAAGCTTAGTAATAGATGTCGAATTCAATTCCAGATGTCAAACCTAATAGCAATTGTCATACTACGAAACAAATATCGAACTTAGTCGACGCAGAAATAGTAGACCAAGGTTCGACGCGAAA